TTCTTCAGAACACACACACACACACACACACACACACACACACACACACACACACACACACACACACACACACACATATATATATATATATATATGGACATTGAGTTCTATCTGGATTCTATCCTCTTAGGAATATATATATATATATATATATATATATATATATATATATATATATATATATATATATATTGACCATTAATATTATCTATCTATCTATCTATCTATCTATCTATCTATCTATATATATATATATATATAAATATATATATGTAAGTATAAAGCCGGCAACAAGTACTGTATATTACGTATGGAGAAGAAATTAGCAATAACTACCTTCAGCAAACCAAATTTTATTAAACCAATGGTCAGAAATACTTTATAGATGCCGGCATAAGAAAGCCTGGTCATTAGAATAAAGGTTTTTTTTTTTTTTGTTATTTTTTAGTCACGTGTTTTTTATCTTTTTAAGCTTATGCTAATTTTAGGTCATTAGCCTTAATTTTATCAATATATTTGTCCCTTGTTAATTCCACCTTACCCAGTTCACCCTGATGATCCCATGTGGTGAAACCTAGTTAGGTAGTCATTCAGTCAGTTATGTGTCATGCGTGATACACGCTAAAGCGATCATTTATCTTTCGATACATGACTGACGAGACAGATTTTTTCCCGCAGTAGGTTGCCATTTTTTCTGCGGTAGACCATTTGCCATCCAAGGCTATAGAACCCGGTCTGTCCTGCTATTTACCCATAGCTGGGGGGAGAAGAGGAGGATTCATACCTTTCCCAAGGGTATTAGAACATAAGTGAATGTAATGGATTCGACTGGAATTCGAACTCGGCTCACCGATTCCTCAATCTAAGCCGCTATCCACTACTTAGGATTTATTTATTTTACTGTTGCCATACTTAGCGTATTCAGCACTCTTCGTGTTAACTTATTATTCGTTGTTGTTTTTTTCTTTGCACCAGAAATTTAAGGTACTGGACAATTTCTTTCGCCCTGTTCAGAGTTTTCTCGTTCTTTCTTTTTTTCCAATTTTTTTTCCTCGGATGCCAATTTGAAAATTATGCTATCCAAGTTTTTTCACCTACCGAGTTTAAATAGATTTACATTATATATATATACTAGCAGTAGAGCCGGCGTTGCCCGGGGATGTAACAGTAGGAGATAGATCAAGTATCGACCATCATAAAGACTGAAAAATAAAATTGACAAAGATTATTGTTTAAGGTTGACGGACATGCATGTCTTAATTTTTTTTTTGTTACGAATTGGTCAAACCCAAACTCAAACAAAACATTGTTTTCAATCGTTATGAATCTACCGATTGAATAGAATTTTATTATAAACAATTGTCTTGTAAATGGAATTTTAAAGCATTCTGAATGTAAAAATAAAGAAAAAAAGTGTGCAAGACAATAAGAAACACTACCTGCCAAAAAAAAGTGAAGTTTTGTTGAAATTGGTTAAAAATGTAGGAAATCCGATCCCATATATAAACGACACACACACACACACACACACACACACACACACACACACACACACACACAAACAACGAGGGTTTATAAGTATAACTCGATATGAGTTGTCCCCCTTTCATCCTGGCGACAGAATCGTGTTTTATCGTGTTTTCAAATTGATTTCGTGCAAAAACAATTGTGTTTTTCCAATTTTTGGCACTGCCAGAACCACCGCAAGGTAATTTTACGTAGTCTTGTGAAGGTTTGTTGAAATCGGTTGAAAAATGTAGGAAATCCGATCCAATACACACACACAATCTGCGTTTTATAATAAGTAAGATGTTAAGGAGTTAGTATGTAGCATTATATGTTTCTTCTTATCTAGTTATATATATATATATATATATATATATATATATATATATATATATATATTGAGTGTTTTTAGCAGCATTTTTCATTCATACATGTTTAATTAAATAATATAGACAAGTGTTGTCTATTTATTTTATGTAAATTCTTTTTATAACGTCTGATAAGCTTAATAACATTATCATTAATAAATATTGATCCATATTGTTTAATCCAATCTAAGCTTTCGGCTTACATAAGCCATTATCAAAGATGTCAATTACTGTACAATATATTAAGTAATATACGGACAAGACAGTGATGATAGTCTGTTATTGTTTTCATGGATGATCTCCAAGCAACGATAAACACGTGCATATAAGACGCTACAAGCGAAAATCGCACCGCATCTCATGACGTCACACATCACCACGCGAGAGTGAATTCAAGAAGTAGTAAGTATGTTACCAATTATAGACATTAAAGGATATTTGTAGAGATTCCATAATTGAGTTTGTTTAGTTTAAGTTTCAACTGTTTGATGTATATAGCTTCAAGGATTTAATATATATATATATATATATATATATATATATATATATATATATATATATTTATATATATATCCAGTGTATTTTGCGTTCCGTTGAGATTCTTCTATTATCCTAATAATTTCTATCACTTGTATCTCCTTGCTTGAACCGGCTTCTAATGCTCTGGATGGAGCGGCTTGAAGATAGTAGTTGTGGCTCGTGGGGGCACAGTCCTATGAATAAGGGAAATTCGGATGAGTTACATCGATGAATTTGTGAAGAGCGTCGCTTTATCGAGTCTAATTCGTTACCTCTTCGTCACTGATTGTCACCCGTTGGTACAGTTTGTATGACGTTTCCGGGTTTCAATTCTCGGTAATGGATGCGCTCTGCTGATGAGTCCCAAATATAGGACGAAACGGCCGTTCAGTGCTTTCTGTATTTTGTTGAGGTTTCTTCTAGACTCGATGAATGCTCCTAATAATTTCCATCATATATATATATATATATATATATATATATATATATATATATATATCCATGATTGGTGTATACGGAATAAATTCCAATAACCAACAGTTACTATTCTTAAAAGAGTGCTCACTACAGAGTAGAGCGAATATAATTATCTATTTAAAAATTATAACATAAATATTAGGTTGGTGCAAAAATAATGACGTAATAATGTCGTTTTTTTGAGGTTAAAAAATACGTCACAAAACGACATTATTACGTTATTATTTTTGCACCAACCTAATATGTTTTTTAAATAAATAATTATATATATATATATATGTGTGTGTGTGTGTGTGTGTGTGTGTGTGTGTGTGTGTGTGTGTGTGTGTCTATCTGTCTGTCTTATAACACGAAGAAAACGCGTTTGCTAAATATGTTCTTCGCTATCTACAAAATAGTTTGGTCGTTTATAAATTACATTTCAGTGTGACGCTTACTACATGGGGCGGACCAATCAGCGCTTTGAAACGCATATCGCACAATATGTACCTAGTAATATCAGAAAGGATAATAGTATCCGTAATACAGGTAGGACGGAGACGGGACAGGATTCCTCGATACACCTCTTAGATAATCCAGATTGTATGTATAAGTATATGGATTCGTAGTTTTCTATTTTGTGCAAAGCATGGTCGACAAAATACGGGTCGGCGAAGCATCTGCCCACTTTAGAGGCAGTACACAATAAACTGAATCGACCGTCTTTGTACCGATAGAAAGACAAATTTATTCGTTCTCTACTGGGTAGCATGTGAGTCTATATTTTCCTTTCTAAACTCACTGGAACTGTTTATTCTGTTTTGCTTTTTCCCCATTTTCCGCCTTTTTTCATTCTCTTTTTTAATATCAATATTTTAATCGTAGTTCCTCCTGTACTCCAAATTTGTCTATCATCACACGATTCTTGCTAACATTATACGAGTCGCCAAGGTTCACCTGTTGGCCGAAAAAAAATTTACCTTTTAAAGGTAAAAATATGCCGTTTTGTCTATTTAATATATATATATATATATATATATATATATATATATATATATTTATTAAAGACATTTTTATGTTTAACGTTCTTTTTTATAGATACAAGTATTTAAGTAAATGCTCTGTATAATAAATAAACAGTATTAAATAACATTTACCGGCCTGAATGTCCGAGAAATTTTCATAGAAAATATTCGTCCTTTGACAGGATTCGAACCTGCTATATATATATATATATATATATATAAATATATATATATATATATATATATATATATATATATATATATATATATATAAATATTTAAAGATATTTTTGTAGAGACATATTAAAAAAAACTTAATATTACCGACATATTAAAACGGTTTCGGTTTCGCCCCGCTCTTCAGGCTTCAACAGGAGATTTAATATTAATATGTTTTTAATATGTCTCGTAATATTAAGTTTTATACTTTTATTCGATATATATATATATATATATATATATATATATATATATAAAGAAATGGACAAAAGTCCGACAATTTATTTATTAAAGACATTTTTTGTTTAACGTTCTTTTTATAAATTGTCGGACTTTGTCCATTTTCTTAATATATGACGTCATTTGTTTACATTTGATACGCCAGAGCAGTTATGAATGTACGAGATTCATGGAAGATTGAAGTTTATAAGCAGTAAATTCGACCTTGTCTACCGAACGTTTCTTTGTGGCCGATCGGTAAGGCACGTCAGCGTAAATGACGGTTCCGTATAGGATGCAGGTTCGAATCCTGTCAAAGAACGAATATTTTCTATGAAAATTTCTCGGACATTCAAGCCGGTAAATGTTATTTAATACTGTTTATTATAAACAGAGCATTTACTTAAATACTTGTATCTATAAAAAGAATGTTAAACATAAAAAATGTCTTTAATATATATATATATATATATATATATAAACAACGGTTGCTACTATAAATCGTTAGCGCCTAATGCCATTTTCAGTAGAAAATAAATAAATTAATGAATAAAACTGAATAACAGAAAAGAAACAAAATAAGTAATAGATGAATATGAATAAGATTCGGTGAATAACATATGTCTTAAAGCTTAAATAATTGCAGTAATGCATCACATTCAGAAAAAAAAAACTATTTCACTAGTTAATGTGTTCAAAAGAAACCGTTTTATCTGTCGAGGAGAATGAGGAAAAATATGGATGCCTTATCATTAATAATTTTTCGCCGTTTTTACCTCCTTTTGTGTGCGCGCGTGTTTCTCTCATTTTCTTTTTTTTTATTTATTTAACAAATATTACTGATAAGTTAAAAATATCTGCCCAAAGTTTTCATCATTTTTCTGCCAGCGTCTCGGATTCTTCTTTATTTTTCCTCGATGTCTTCTTGGTGCTATTCCCATTTCAATTTTCTTCACCACTAGTCCCATTCTTTGTTTTGGTTTCAACTGTTGTCCTTCCGTTTTCAGTTTCTGATTTCATATTCATCTTCCCTTCGGACAAAACCTATTATTCTACGAGAATAAAATAGTCAACAAGGCGCGAATGTCATTTCGTAATTTTCTTTGTAGAACAAAATACTATCTTATCCTATCCTATCCTATCCTATCTATCTATCTATCTATCTATCTGATTCTGTTCATATCTATTCTGATTCTGTTTATATCTATCTATCTATCTATCTGATTCTGTTCATATCTATCTATCTATCTATCTATCTATCTATCTATCTATCTATCTATCTGATTCTGTTCATATCTATTCTGATTCTGTTTATATCTATCTATCTATCTATCTATCTATCTATCTATCTATCTGATTCTGTTCATATCTATCTATCTATCTATCTATCTATCTATCTGATTCTGTTCATATCTATTCATTCTGTTCATCTATCTATCTGATTCTGTTCATATCTATCTATCTTCTGTTCATCTATCTATCTATCTATCTATCTATCTATCTATCTATCTATCTATTCTGATTCTGTTCATATCTATTCTGATTCTGTTTATATCTATCTATCTATCTATCTATCTATCTATCTATCTGATTCTGTTCATATCTATCTATCCGATTCTGTTCATATCTATCTATCTATCTATCTATCTATCTATCTATCTATCTATCTATCTATCTATCTGATTCTGTTCATATCTATCTATCTATCTATCTATCTATCTATCTATCTATCTGATTCTGTTCATATCTATTCTGATTCTGTTTATATTATCTATCTATCTATCTATCTATCTATCTATCTATCTATCCATCTATCTATCTATCTATCTATCCGATTCTGTTCATATCTATCTATCTATCTATCTATGCTGATTTTCTTTGTTTATTCTCATATTTACTTACCTTGGGGTTATCTAGATATTTTCTATATGATTTACCGTCAGATTTCCCGAATAAGGTAAGAATTTCTCCTTTAATTAAGTTAAACACACAAGTGGAGAAGGGGAGAGAGGTTCGGGCTTCAGTGCTATGGTCTCAAGTTTGCCATAAAAGCTCTTCAGTTCTATAATGCCATGGGAAAGACAAATATCTCAAACACGAAACCATATGCATGCTATATATATAAACCATTTTCAAATTTAGCTTTAGGCAAAAATAAGATAAGTTGCCTCACTTGGAAACTAATAATAGTTATGTTCTATATAATACTGTTTTGTCTACTACTATTACTACTACTACTAGTACTACTACTTGAATCATTCCCAAACGAACTTTATGTTGAATTCGGTAATCATAATGCTTTTCAGTTACAATCCAAGTAAACTGGTCCCAATTCCTACTAAAGGAACATCAACTCGTTGCCGTAGACCGACAAACAGATATAAGCTATGTTTCTAAACAACAACAACAAATTCGAATACGCATGACCTTCTTTTACCTGCTCTTAGCATTCTAAAGCTGAGCTTTTTTTCTTTTTTTGTTTGTTTGTAGTTTACCCACATTGTTGCTTACAGAACTTGTTGTTCCCAAACTGTCCCCCATCTAAGTACTGGCCAGGCTTGAAGCTGGTTAACTTCGGTGATCGAACGAGAACCGATGATTTCAACGAGAATTAACTGTAAACTCTACATCAACCATTCTTTCGGAAAGACAAGCACATCAGAACACCAAACGATATGAAATCATTAGGCCAAGCTATGACAAATTGGCTCATTTTGAAGTTAATAAGAGCAAAGTTTAATGTATTTTTTAACGAATAATACGCTGTTAAATAGAACTACTCGAATCGTCCTTGAACGAATATTATGTTGAATGCTTAGATTTTTTTTTAATCGTTTCATCCCAAACAAGATGAAAATACCTCTAGAACGTGGGGTGGGGTGTTACACGGAGTGAAAGTGAAAGAGAATGAGAAGACTGCTGAAAATGGAAAGGATTGGGGAAAGGACAAATTAAGGAACAGGGTTCAAGAAAACTGAAGATGGCAGTTGATTCTGCACTTAAATTCTTCAAGATTGTAGTTATCGAGAAAGCAAGAAATCTGAATGGAGTCGAGAGGTGCGCGAAAAAAAATGTAAAAGTGGCGGTTGGTTGCATCTAGCAAAATTAAAACGGTGGGACCTAATTGCCAATCTAGTAGAACGCTTAAATTCATGTAGTAGTCGGGGCACCAGGACAAAAAAGAATAGTTGCTATGAAGATATTCGTAGGAAGCCACGTCATGTCGGTGAGGAAATGACTAATGTCGAGATGTCTGGTCAGGATCGTTTACATTACAGATCATTCTTTGGATTTTGTCAAGAATCCCGAGATATATAACAGGAGCACCAGACTAGATATGGTAACAGTATTCAATGCATACATGAATGGTAGATTTATAAATGTACAAGATGGATTCTGGCGAGAAAAAAAAACTTTCTAGCACGAAACAGTGAACCAAATTTCCTTGCAGTAGATGCAGCTATTGATTCGATGTGGTCGCCCCACCTCATATCAGTGGAATACGTGAGGCCTAGAAAGCGTAGTTTTTTGGAGTTTAGCATCAGCCATGCTCATGGCAGGCAGAAAAGCTTTCTTGTCACCGCATTTCGTAGTTGCAATCCAAATAAAGTGTTACAATTCGCGGTCGCATCTCCTACAAAAGGTGGCTGCGTCTTTTTAGAGTCGGTAACTTCCCCTGCCAAGAAAATACTCGATGTGATCCGAAACAACAGTATATCGTTTTTTAACTCACTCGCATTAAAAAAAATCATTTTTTCTCTGGTTTCACTCTTTGATTTCTTACAGTACTCGTCGTTCCCAAAAGGTCCTCCATCTAAGTACTGACCAAGCTCGAAGCAGCTTAACTTTGGTGATCGATGAGAACCGGTGCTTAACACTACTAATAAAAACACATGTCGACCATCAGTAATCCGTATATGCAAGATGCCGCATAAGCCGAATTGTTGGATTACTGATATTTATGTTAGAATACACTTAATCCAGCAATTAATCACTTACGAAAGTTGACTGAAAAGTTCATAGGGTGACCAAGATACTCTTAGGAAATGTGACCAAATGAGGTTTATTTTTCGACATCGCCCCCCCCCCTTGCGGTCCACATATTTCTTCAATCTGTGTTGCACTGTTTGGATCCCATTGGTGAAGAAGCTTTCATCTCGTTGGTCAAAAAAGTCATCAACGGAAGATATGACGTTATCATCACTGTGATACTGGTTCCCAGCCATGTGTTGGGGAACAGATGATAGTCAGATGGGCTCAAATCAGGATAATAGAGAGAATCATCAACCAGTTCCAAGTCACAGTCAGGAATAACGGCCATTGAAACCAAGGACTTGTGTGCTGGCGCATTATCCTGATGAAACAAGACAACGTTTTCCTGATATAAATAGAATCAGAATAAATCTGAACAGAATCAGATAGATAGATAGATAGATAGATAGATAGATAGCCTTTTGTAACTGCCTCAGCAAGTTGGAATAGTACTTTCCATTGATGGCGTGGCCGTTTTGAAGATAGTCAACAGACACTATGCCTTATGCATCCTAAATAACTGATGTCATCACTTTCCCTGCAGATGACCATAGCCTTCTTTGGAGCATGGATTGTTTTTTTCTCTGGCTCAAATTGATGACCCCTACACACATTCTGGTTCAATGAAACCAGTTAAATCAAACATTGTCAATATTTCCCTTGATGTGACCAGACTGTGCTCTTTTGATCAGGTGTCGGTCGAAAGATGTGGCACCCACTGAGCAGAAACCTTCGTCATGCCAGAGTGGTACCAAATATCAAAACTATCCAACGAAATTTATCAGTGTTCTGTCTTAAGGTATACTTTATTTGTCTGTTTACATCGACATAGGACACAGTGCACAGTTTTAGGCAAATTTTGGTTGGTTTGGCTTACTTTGCGGCATATTCAAATAAAAGATTAGGAAGGAAATCCCATTCACTACTGGAAAGAGCAATAACAGCTACTGTACCCGAGAAACATATTTTCCTGAAAAATTCTTTTAAGAGAAAGAATTTATTCCAACCGAAAGCAGTTCTGACTGCTCGGTCAATAAATGCCAAATGTTTCCTTGGAGGGAAACGACTAATATTACCATTCAGCTAATAAAGTGCCATACGTGGTACACGATTTGGCGATCATGTCTCTTTCGATTTCTGGCTGACTGGGCAGATGATTTTCCCGCAATAGGTTGCTATTTCTTGACTGGTTGCCAAACAAGGCTATAGAACCCAGTCTGTCCTGCTTTGCAACTCATAGCTTGGTGAAGAAAAGTTGGAGTTATACCTTTTCCGAGGTTATTTGTGCGTTAGTGAATTGAACTATTTCGGCTGGAATTTGAAATTGGCTTTTCTATTTTTTATTCCGTGCTGATAACCATTATACCACGACGGACATTACCATTATCATATCAATCTTTTTCCAGGTTATTTAAAACTGAATCCTGTCATTTTGATAATAAGGAGATATAGATCAGGTTTGAATTATAACGAAAAATGTAGATATAGGTACGATAAACAAATGGTCACTGTTTTTAGTGATGGTTGAAGGTTACCCCTCTGCTTGGGATGGCGTATTCTAAACTCCAAACGATAGGGCGATTTAGTCATATAATCATAAAACATTTATCGAAATCTGAAAAAAAAATAAAGAAAAAATCTGTGCAACATCTATATATTACTAAAATCCTGTTATTGCGTGCATGCTTGCGTGATTGTGTGGTGTGTCCGTATGTTCTTCCGTCCGGCCGGCCGGCGCATAATGATTTACAAGTTGTTTATACAGTAAGTATTTTTATTTGAACTTTCTTCAAACAGAGAAATTTTTTTAATTAAAATATTTTTAAGTTAAAGACAGACGCAAAGAGATCCCGCTTTGCTGTTTCGTCCTGTTGTTTGTAAAGTAATTATTTATATTTCAGCTTTCTTTAAACGGAGGCACGGCGGAATAATGCATGGCGGCTCGGTTTGCCGAAGCCGAGTTCGAATTCCAGTCGAATCCATTACATTCACTTACGTGCTAATGGATCCTCCTCTTCTCCTTCCAGAAAGAAATGGCAACCTGCTGCGGGAAAAATCTGCTTCGTCGGTCATGTATCGAAAGATAGATGATCACCCAAGCGTGTATTACGCAAGGCACATAACTGACTGACTTTCTTTCAACAAAACAATATTTTTTGACATTTAAAAATAATTTTTAATTTAACCTGATTTATCCCAGAAGTTCTATTTCCATTAAATGCTGTAAACAATCAGTAAAACGTTAAAATATGAACTTGTTCATCAGACCAAGGACACGAACGAATTGAAATATTTAAATTAATCATAATAATACTAACATTCATTTCAATGGAACGTTGAAATAAACTTCAATGTTTTATAACTTGAACCGTCAGTGAGCCCTAAAAATAATAAAGTTAATACGTATGATAATTTTACTGGTGTTTCAAAACTCCATTACCTTACGTCGTGTTTGTTATGGAAGCCATTTCTATGGATATATCGTATACGCTTGAAGAATGTATCCGTTTTCAAGACAAATAAGCACCAGAAAGAGAAAAACTCTACACTTCTGTTTCCTTTACGTCAAAAAAAGAAGGGTTTTCCCCCATTATTTTTCCTTCATTTAAAAAGTAAGTTAAGAAACAGAAATGTAAAAATATTTTTCGAAATACCACTTATACGAACATATATATATATATATATATATATATATATATATATATATATATATATATAACTGATTTAAAAATGTTTTTTTTCGCTACACAGTAATAACCATGTTTCAAAAATGGAAGCTAAAAGCTTCGAATTTAATTTTGTAATTAAATTAAAAACATTAGTTCCATTTCATCCTCAAGCGAATTTTTAAGTAACTTATTTTTTTAAATTTACTGAGTTTTAAAGGCACAGAAAAATTCATAATTCACTGTTTCCAAGGATACAGAGAGATCCATTCATTCAGACAAGGGGTGGTAGCGTGTTCATTTTTATTAACTTTTGTTGCGTCAGTTATTAGTAATATATATATATATCATCACTGTCTTGTCCGTATATTATATATATATATATATATATATATATATATCATCAAAGTCTTAGATATATTATGTTATAAAAATATGGATCAATATTGATAATGGCTTATTATTCGTTCAACGATAAGTGTTATTAAACTTCAGTATTAAATACGAAAAAAATTACAAAATATTATTTCGTGAAACGTATGAATGAAAAGATGCTGCCTATGGACACAACATATATATATATATATATATATATATATATATCAACGATAGATAGATAGATAAAGACAGACAGACAGATAGACGTTCTACATCCTGGAAAATATGAATTTTCTTCCTCCAAATTGTACAAAGACTGGTTTCTATATTCTTTCATGAAACCAGTTGGCAATCCAGAAAGAAATGAAACAGCGGGAAAATCTTCTGCTTACTCAGTCAAATCGAAACATGATCGCCCAAACGTATATCACGTATAGCACTTAACTGACTGACTTATATGAATATATTTCAAGAGTCCCAACGGACGCCTAAAACCTTTAATGGTATCGAACTCTGGGTGTAAAGTGTGTTCCAATAACATGGACCGATTTTGAATGTGAATTAAATTTAAGCGTCTAATGATTTTTTTCTTTTTCTTTCAGATTTAACAACTTAAGTCTTTGGCAATTTCAAACATAGAAAGATAAAACGTGCACGCAATGGTGTTCTCAAATCTGCCACCGACCCAGTTTGTTTGAATTCATTGAACAATTTTTCCAATTGCACCCTTAAGACTTTAACACGTTGCTTGATTGTTAATTTTTCCATGGTTGAAATTGCCAGATTTAATTTGTTAAATCTGAAAGAAAAATCAAAAAAAAAAAAAAAAAATCATTAGACGTTTAAACTTAATTCACATTTTAAATTGGTCCAAGTTATTGGAACACTTTTTATAAATGTCATATGGTTCATCAACCCATTCCATGTCATCTAAAGCCAGGAAATATTTTTATACTGGAAGAATTTGGGGGGAGATAATAATGAATTTATTGATACAACTCCTAATAATTAACCCATAGCTGGGGAGAGAAGAAGTGGATTCATAACTTTTCCAAGGATATTTGCGTGAATATAACGAGCCCGACTGGAAATGGAACTCGACTCTCCGATTTCCAATGCCGAGCCGTTGACTATTACACCACCTGCACATCCAAGCTTACCTAGTATTCTCAAACGGTCACCCATGAATGTATTGACGAGACTCGACGTTGCTTAACTTCGGTGATCGCACTAGACTCGGTGTTTCAGCGTAATAAGGACGTTTATCCATTACGTTACCTACACATCCAAGCTTACAGCACTTAGTATCTTGCAGGTGAGTTATTATCATTGACAATGAGGTTAGCAGTTTTAATTGTTTTTATAGTAATTAATTAATTTAATTTTCTAGTTTTTGCTTACTGGAAATATATATTTCTTTATAATGTTTATAAGGGAAAATTCATCCTGTTTATAGTTACCATGCATTTGATTTTCATAGAAAATGTTAATGTTATTGTTTTATCGGCATGTTCAGTGTTACCTTAGAAAGAAAAAGTCCAATATGGCGATCTATGAGGTGATTTGAAGAAAACCTTTATTGACTAGCGTTTGTTTCACGCTGTTAATTTCTTTAAAGAAAATCGGAGAAGCGGATGAATCCTCGTTCGCTCTCATTAGGAATTTTTTTATGACGCCTATTTTATATCTAAGAAGACATTGACTAGTAAAATTAAAATTGAAGCGTTCTCTCTCATTCTTGCGCAGGCGTAATCGCATCAACCTAAACATTACTTTAGTCTAATGAAGCCCTAAAGGA